TTCTTTTTTTTTCTTTGTGCAAGAAAATCAACGTTAATTAATTTATTTTAAAAAATGCTTTCCCCCCCCCCTCTCTCTCTCTCTCTCTCCCTCTTCCCCTCTATCTTACTCTTCTTCTTCTTTTTTTAAAAATTTAACTTTTCATTTGAAAAAATGACGATCCATATTTTGTTCTGACGTTCCCGGAACATCGAGGCTCGGCATATTTCATTCTCCCGAACCCGGAGGCGGTGCCCATCGATCGAATTCTATACCTGAATCCGGACTTGTACCTATGGCAAGAGGACTGAGAAATCTCGACGATTTACATTTGCATTCCAAAACGAAACAATCGCATTTCGAACATTTTTTACTTCTATTCAATTCGCTTTCCATTCTCTTCATTCTTTCCTTGTCCATGATTTCTTCGCTCGTGTCTTCTTTCCACTGAAAAAAAAAACAATTTTTAAACGTTGATTGTATGAAATTAATTTAAAGGTACAAAACCGTTACCCGTGTATACTCACATCCGGAAGTGTTCCTTGAATTTTTAATTCTTGTTCGAAATTATGTAACTGTTCCATAAAATGAAAATTAGGTCCGACGTTTGATTTCCTGTTTCTGACGAGAGTAAAAGCATCGTTTAAACTTAATTTTAGTTTGTACATTAAATATGCGACCGTGATTGTGACCGAACGGCTCACTCCGGCCAAACAATGAACCAAAACTCCTTTCGAATTATTTCTACCTTCATCTGCTCATTAATAATAATAATAATAATTAATACTATGATAATGAGGTTCGTCGATAAAATTTCAAGGTATTATAAGTTATACCTATAAACTTTATGGCTTTTGGAAAAAATTTTGCGAGATTTTCACTCCAGTGATCTGCTATTGGTATCTGCATGTATTTCATGCTTCCACAATCTTCGAAAACGTTCGGTAAATCCGCAGTGACGTTCAATATATACTAAAATAAAACATTTATTGACATGACAGACATTTGGTCGTCCAATAAGTTTCTGCAGCAATAAAATAAATTTAAAAAAAAAAAAAAAAAAAACTCACCTGAATCCCGTGTTTGTTTAAAGATTCGCTATCTTCGCTGTTGATGGCATTTCCCAGGTAGAGATGAGGAAGGATTTCAACGGGAAAATCCCTATCGTCTTCCAAACCTAAAGATGAATCGCATCTGTCGTCAGAATCTGAACTTTCCGTTGAACTTGTTGCTGCTGAACTTCCGCAGGATGATCCTGAAAAATAATTTTTGGAAAATTTAATGCAATTTATAATTTTAACGTAAAAAAAAAAAAACTTTTAATTTGTTTCTTACCGAAGCGAGTTCTATCTCTGTAAGTGGTAGGACTAGCAGATATTCTAAGAGACCTTAATCCCATTAGAGGAGTGGCTACAGGATCCGATCCTGGAAGATTTATGTCGGCGGCACTTTCGCACCATTCAGGATACGAATTAAAAAATTTTGTAAATCCCTCTGTAATAAAAAAAAAAAAAAAAAAATCAATAATTATTATTATTATCTTTTCTTCTCAAATTTAAAATATTGAAATCGAATCTTATTTTCATTCATAAAAAAAAATTTTGTTTATGCGCAAATGTCCAACTAATAATAATAATAATAATAATAACATTTTAGTTAAAAAACAAACGTTGGTCCCTTAAAAAAAATGAAATAACAGGTTTAATCCAAAAAATAAAAAACCTGTCGTCAACAAACGTTTATTGAAAAAAAAGGAAAGAAAATTTTTTTAAAAAACTTATTTTAAAAGGGTAAAATGCGTGGGAGAGCAAAAGCAAGGAAAATGAGATTAGAATTCAAATGCGGGGGAGTGAAAATTTTAACAATCGATTTCTTCAATGAAATTTACAAACGAACAAAGAAAATTTTCATTCAAAAATTATACAGTTTCGGCGCAAGACCGGGAGAAATCACAGAGACAAAACACACACGGGGTGGGGGAGGGGAGAGGAGGGGGAAAAAGAAGGAAGGAAAATACTTGCAAAACTGTTTTCCTTTACTAAAAAATTCAATGTTTAAATCTAAACGAATGAACGAAGGAAAGAAAAAACGAATAACAAAAAAAAAAAAAAGAAAAGAAAAAAGGGCGGGGAAAAAAAGGAAAGGAAAGGAAAGGAATAGAAAAAAAAAAAAAAAGAATAAACCCAATTTAAAATGCAAAAAGAGAAAAGAGAGAAAGTAGTAGGAGTTTTGAAAAGGAGTCTACAACCCCCATTGAGTTATGAAACCAACAAGGTCATTAGGGTAACAGACCTGCGTGGGAGACTTTAAAAACTAGGAGCAGTCGCTCGAGGAATGAATGGGGCGCTGGAAAGAGAAAAAAAATACGGAAAATGTTGGGGGTGGAATAAATGCAAAAGAAAGAACAGAGAGCGAGAGAGAGAGAGAGTGGAAAAAAAAAAAAATTTACTTTTTTACTTCAAATGAATGAAAAACGGGAAAAACGGGAAGAAGACGAAGAAAAGAGGAAGAGGAAGAGAGGAAAAAAAAGGTGGAAACAACCAACAATGTTTCGCATTGGAATTAAATTTCCCCTCTCCCATCCTCCCTCTCCCTCCCCCCACCTTTTTTTCTTATTTTGAGAGAGAGAGAAATAAAAAAAGGTATAAAAATAAATATTTTTTTTCGCCATCGGAAAATTCTTTCGAATAAAATAATAATAATAATAATTTTTTTACATCCATGTAAATCCAATTATTCTGAACAAATCATCCATCTTTCTTTAATAATAATAATAATTTTTTTGTTAAACAAAAGGATTAAAAAATAAAAAATATTTAAAATCAAGTATTTAAATGATTGAAAAAAGGAAACCCCCCCCCCAAAAAAAAAAGGTTTTTTTGATGTTAAACACCTTTTTAAAATTCTTTAGGTGTTGGAAAATTTTAAAGAAACCTTACAACAACTCAAATGTTATTTGATTTAAATTTAAAAAAAAAAAAAGAGATTTTAATTTTATTATTAATTTTTTTTAAAAAAAAAGAAACCTTTTAAAAATTTTCCTTTCCTATCCTTTCCTATCCTTTCCCCTTTCCTTTAAAACAAATAAATATATTTAAAAGATATTTTAATTTTTTTTTTTTTGCTCATAAAAAAACCTTCAGAGATTTAAATTCAACCTGATTCGATACAGTTTTTATTAATTAATTAATTAATTAAAAGAAAGAAAAACTTTCAAATGTTTTAAAACTATAATAATAATAATAATAATAATAATAATGTTTAATTTTATTTGATTTTCATTCATTCATTCTATATGAGGTTAATATATGAGAAAAAAAAAAAATTATGTTTAAAACTTACCCTGGAGGCAAACAACTTTGCATCCGTCTTGTTTAAGCCTTTTCATTAAAACGTGTAATATTTCTTTGGTATTATTGTTTTTCTCGGTGTCATTTAAATCATCACCGTAAATAACGAATAAATCCCTTTTGTAACCTTCCAATATTTTTTCTTTTAATCCTTTACATTTGATTGTTGATATTAAATCAATTTTCCCAGCCGAAAGTCGTCTTAGCATTATGCTAGGTATTGAAAAATTAACGGCTTGCCTTATGTGAGATTCGCCATATTCGTTCGTGCTCCGACAATCCAATATAATTATTTGTTTTGAATCCGAACGTAATTGTTGAAGGAGCCATTCTTTCGTTATACGAATGTCACGTATGGAAGTATATTCGTCAACATCGGATGTCGGCATTATCTATTAAAAAATCAAAATAATACTGGATTGTTAATTATTTTGAATGCATAGGAGAAAATATGTGAAAAACATCGAATATATTGAATATGAAGTTTTTTTAAAAAAGTATTATTATTATTATAAATGTGCATAGTCCATTATTAAAATAAAATGTTTTTTTTTTTTTTTTTTTTTTAACAATGGTATATTCATTCTATTGTTGTTAAAAAAAAAAAAACTTGCACTTTTCCTCTTTATTGACCTTTCAATCAGCCCTACTTAATTACTATAATTTTTATTAAAAAAATAATTTTTGCAAAAAAATACTTTGATACAATTTATAAATTTTAATTAGTGAGAGATTTGTCAAAATTATTATTTTTTTTTTCAAATTAATTAATATATGTTCATAATCGATTAATGATGATACTCATGTATACAAGTCAGTAAATAAAATAATTTAAAAAAAAAAAAAATGATAACGATAAGAATATCTATCTTTTTCAGTTTATTTAATTCGATGTAACATCACATATTTAAGTTTCAAAATTATTTTCAAGTATTTAGTTTTATTAATTTGAAATGGACAAGATATGATATGCGATAAAAGGTTGCAATATTATAAAACATCAATAAAAATTTTACATAATGTTAAAATATCTCCGAAAAAATCTTCTTTTAAATATTTAATTAGTGAGACGGTAGTGTATACATTTTGATATCAATTATTTTATTCGTATAATTTTAAAATTTAATTTTTACACAGCCTGAAATATCTATCAGTGATAAAAGTTAAAGAATCAATTTTTAAAAATAAATAAATTGTCATGATATTTATTTCGATTACTTAAATAAAAAAAATTTAATCATTCAAATTATAAGTTTTTAAAATGAGTAATACGAGTTTTATCGAAGTTTGACAATAAATCCAAATGTTAAAATTTTGAGCTTCACAAAAAAGGCATTTTATTTTTCCTTTATTAATTATTTTTATATTTGATTATAAAACTAAAAAAAATATATTATTCCTTTATCGAAGGCTTTCATTTTCATTTTTAAGTTTTATATTATTATGATTGTTTCGAAAATAATAGATTCAGTTTTGAAATGTTAAAAGTAAATTTTTTATCGATTATTCAATAAATTGAGTTTTTTTTGTACAGATACAAACAGAAAAGTATATTATTAAATGCAAATATATTGATTGCAAATTTACAAATGTTAATTTGATATTTTATAAAGTAACCAAAAAAGAAAAAGTAAGAGCAATTAGCAAACAATGGCAATACATAATGGCAATTTAAGGAAAAAAAATTTTTAAATTAATTTTTGAAATGATTTTTAAAAAAAACTTACATCAAAAAGACTTATTGTAATATTATAACAAATTAAATAAATGATACTTTTAATAAATATCAAAGCTATTAACTTATTAATATTTATTTAAGTACAAAAAAAATTTTAACCGCCTAAAAAAATTATGTATTTGTTGAGTGGATTTATGAAACTACTGTCACAGGTAAATAGGAGCAAATAAAACATAGAGTAATTATTTTTTTTTTTTGAAACAAATTTAATTTGTGTAAAGAATAATTGACGACATTAAATATATTAATATAATATTGAAAAACGTAAAATGAATAAAAAAAAAAAATAAATTCATGGAATAAAATTGAAACAAAAAGCAACGGTTAAATCAGCTTTTACACATTAATCGATAATTTTAGGCCAAGTTTATGATTGGATTAGCAAACTAACTAAGCATCATCATAGGCCTTATGATTCATTTCATTCATTTTTTTTTTTTTTTTTGTTAATTATAATAATGATAATTCTTTTTAAAAAAAAAAAAAATGATATTATTTTATGTAAATAAATGTAGTCATTGTTTAATATACTTACTGCTTTGATCCTCCTCAATTATTTTCGATAAAACTCACACACATATAAAAAAAAAAAAAATACAAAATGGAATGCACCTGTTTACTTAAATTGAAAAAATAATTTCAATATAAAATTACTTGTTGTTTTTAAAACTAATATCAGTTATTTTTATACGATTTAATATTAATAAGATTTTTTTACATATAACTCATAAATATAATTTAAAAAAAAATAAAAAAAACACCTTTGGGGCATGAATAAAATTACTATCATAACAAATAGTATTAAATAAAAATTTCACACATATAATAATTACATTTAATATTAAACATATATACTTATAAATAAATAATCTCTAATTTTTTAAACATAAAAACTCTTATATATTTTTTTTTAATTTTGCTCACTATAACTTTTAACATTTAATAAAATAAGTGACATAAGAATGAAACAAGGCGTTGTTGTATTGTTCCTTATTGTTGTGTTGTGTTATTTTTTTTTTCTTCCGGTTTAAAGTCAAATAATAGAAATAATTGAGAGAGACCACACGATTGTTTTAAATAAATAAATACGAAATTTCATTTTTTACTGTAACAACCTTTCACATCGACTAACACACACACCCAACATTTTTAACTATGGATCCAGCGAGCAGCATCCTCTTCTGAGGCTTGTCCAAAATACTCACCTCCCCTTTGTTAAGGCGAGTCCATTCGTCCCACACTTTTCAATCATAGAGTCCCTATTATATTGAGTAATTATTATTATTCGCACTTTTTTTTTTTTTTTTGTTTGACATCAGATATTTTTATTTTTTTCCCTCCAAATTCTTTTTTAAAAGGATATTTTGTGACTATAAATAAATTTTTCGAAGAACGACGATGCGAAAAAATAAAATTGAAAAATTTACGATTTTTTTTTAAAATGCAAGTATTCTAATGAAGACGTGAAAAAAAAAATTGGATTTTTAAAAAAATGGATTTTCTCGAACGTTCTAAAAATGTAAAATCGTATTTAAAAAATTACGTCATCGAATATTATATGAATTAACTTACGAATGATATAACAAATGTTTCTATTATGCTCCCACGTATTTAGGGACTCATTTAAAATTAACGTACATTTTAACCAATGAGAAAAGACGTTTGTTTACGACGTCACTTCATTGACAACGGTCCCCCACGATATTCGTGGTTTAGATAGAGAAGGTAAAATTAATAATCGTAAGTTTAAAAAAGATAGATAGATAGATATAAGAGCGTGTGGGCGTACGTGGATTATTAGCCCCCTTATTTAAGGTTTGAATGAGAAGTTTTTTTTAATGGACTCGCATAACATTCAGTTAAAGCCTGCAATATGCACGACGAAATTCTTCTGTTTTTCTGTTTTCCCGCCCTCTCACCCTTCCCCTCTTTCTCCTCATCAAATTTTTTTACATAAAGCTAAAATGTTTGCTATAATTTCTTGTCATTTTTATCATTCAAAATTTATTCACAAATGAAATTATTAAGTTGTTGAAAAACATTGAAAGGTTTAACCTTTAAAATTTTAAATTTTTTTTAAATTATTAAAAAAATTTTATTCGTTTTAGGTATAAAATTTCTTTAAAAAAAAAAAAAAAACACGAAATTAACGTGAAATGATTAAAACTTGTGCTGATTAAATAAATAAATTTGAGATTTTTTTTTTTTTTTTTTTTGGAATGCTGACTCATATTCACATCTATACATGGTCAGTTGTTAAATTAATTTTTTACCTTCACCAAAGTTATTATTTTTTTAAATATAAAAAATAAATTTAAAAAAAATTTTTTTTTTGTTTATTCAACTAATTTCAATTATTATTATTATTATATTTCATTTTTGTAAAAAAAAATATTTTACTATAATTATTTATAAGCACAATACATAAAAAAAATTTTTTTTTTTGTAATTTTAAATGCTACTAATATTTTTTTCACACGCTTTTTTTCTTATTAATACTAAATTTTATTTTTTAATATTTATAATTACACATTAAAATTTATTAAAACAAAAATTTAATAAATAAAAATTTATATTGTTGAGTTTAAAAAAAAAAAAAAAAAAAATTTGTTTGTTTATTTATTTAAAAAAATCAAATTTTACCAAGCGTTTTAAATAATTTCAAATACATAATTTAAATAATTTTAAGTACATTAATTTAATATATTTTTTTTTTATTACAGTCATTTACAAAGCATACATATTGGTAACAAATTAATGTTAAATGTTATATTATTAACAAAATTGTTTTATTTATAATTAAAAAAAAAAAACATGGCACTGAATGTGTTAAACTCAATTTAATACAAGTTTAATGCCAATTTATTATTTAAATTCTTCCATCCCTTGCATCTGTTATTACTCCCCATAATTCAAATATGAAACCATCTGAAAATCCTAATTCGCTTAAATCACTATTATTGAGCTCCATTAAAAAATCCAAACTATTTTTTATACCATCTGATATTTCCCAAATTCTTCCAGCTGATAAATTTATTTTATATGGATTTTACATAAAAATGTAAAATTAGAATTGAAAATGAAGACAAATTTTATAATATTTATTGTATAGTAAAAAATAATGATATTTATTTATTTATTATTAAAATAATTATTAACTCACCTAATTCAGAATCATTAATTCCTAAATAACTTTCGAGGAGTTCATTGATTCCATCAACGGCTTTTTGATATTTAATAGAATCGTCAACAACTTCGACGACAGCAGCACCGCCTGCTTTGAATCGTAACGTTTCCTTTCCAGATCCATAATTTGATTTTCTTCCTCTTCCTTTATCTTCTCTCGGTCCAATATTATCTGTAAAATTAAATTTTTTTTGTTAAATTTTGTTGTTTTTCCGATACAGATATCTAATAGTTAATACTTATTAGTAATTCAGATTATTATTGACTAATGGTTACTATCTCGAAAGCAGCAGCAATCTACATTTAATTTCATTTTTTTTTTTTCCTCCCCTTTTTCCCACATTATTTATTTCAAAAACTGTAAAAACTTACAAAAACCAGCTTGAAGAGGTGAAACTAATCTAAGAGTAAATGTAGATCCCTGTGGAATGTCTTTAAGACGTTTAGCAACTTCAAAATGTCTTTTTCCAATTAAACTTTCATCATTTATTTTTTCTATATGATCTCCAACCTAAAATTTTTTTTTAAATTTCAATAGAATTAATAATAATTATTCCGTTTGTTTAATATAAATATAAAAAAATTATTTAATAAGAATTTTTGAAATACAAATTTAAATAAAAACTGCCGCAAAAATTTTTTTTTTTTAAAAATAAAATGATTAACCTGAATAACTGGAATTTGTTCAATGACACTTCCAGGTTTTATTCTTTTTATAAATGCGAGTCCATTTCCGTTATCGGTTATTGTTAAACCTAAAGATTCTTCTTTTTTTATTAATTCTACTTCTTTAGCTCTTCCTTTTCTATGAATAAATATAAAATCTGTCAATGCTATTTGAGCTCCTAATAGTTTATTCATATTTATTTTATGAGTATTTAACGTACAAAACAATATCTGAAAAATAATATAAAATGAAAATTTATTATTATTATTATCATCCAATAACACAAAAAAACTGTCGATATATTAGAGGAAAAGGATCGGTCACACATTTATTGTTTAAAATCAACGTAATATTTATAAAATAATCAAGTTCCGGTTTAAAACTCCCCCTCTAATAAAAAAGAAACCTTCTCGTTATTAAATAATAATAATAATAATAAATTTTTTTTGTTACCTTTTTTATTTAAAAAAAAAACAACAACAAATCAAGATGGTAAAAACAATGCAAACATTTTTAGGCATTCGTGAGCTACTTATAACCGTAACATTCAATGTCACGTTGTTATAATAATAATAATAATAATAATAATAATAATATATTTAAAAAATTCATTGAAAAATACGTTAAATTTTATTAAACATAAAATAAAAATAAAAAACATTTTTTTTTTGTGGATTCAAAATATATATATTTATATATAAAATAAAATGGCGAATAATATTTTCCTCAGGTCAAATTTTTTTTTTTACGTTAAATAAAGTTTTTGATATTTAAAATATAAAAAAAAAGGGGGGGGGGAAATGTAGGTCGAAAAAAATAAGAAAAAATTTTTTTTTAAAAATGACATTCAAAAAAATAATATTTTCATAAGGAGGAAATAAAAATAAAATTTTTTGTAATAAAAATTACTTTCTATTTAGCAAAAAAAAAAAAAAAAAATTATTATTACCTCGTTCGGTTCGAAATCATAACACTCGCTGATTTTTTGATATAATTCTTTAACATTATTAAAACCGGAAATGATTCCTGTTGGACTTCCTTGTGCCTGTTGACAGTAAAAAACTGGAGTTTGCCTATCATCATCTTCAATTGAAGGTTCCATATGATTTATTCTATTGTGATTATAATTATTATCATTTATTATACATTTGGATGCCGAATCGTCCTTATTATTATGTTTTTTTGGGAAAAAAGGCATTTTTTTTTACTTTTCAACTTTTTTCATTAGTTTCTTAATTAATTTCTCCTTTTTTTTTTTAATATTTTTAACGGTATAAAATAATAATAATAATAATAACGAAGGTATAATAATAAGTTGTTGCTGATTGATTTTTATTGTAACTGTAAATAATGAAATAGAAAAAATTACAATTAATTTAATTATTATTAATTTTTTATTTAATAAATAAATAATGACAAGGCTTTAAAGTCTTAAATTGTTTAATTATGTTTTAACGTTTTTCTCATTAATTTTTTTTTTTTTTTAAACATTCCAAACGTGCTTTCATATTGAAAACATTATAAATGAAAAAAAGTGTAAATTATTATTATTAAAATTGTAAAATATTCTTGTTGGTCTGGTTGAAAAAAAAAAAATTAATAATAAATTCTTTTTTGTTCCTGTCTTATCTAATTTATATGGAAGCTTATCACTTACTAAATATTCCTTATCAATGTTCGGGCTGTATTAAAATGATGACAAACAGGTGATATGTTAAACTACTATGTGTTAAATGTAACATTATATAACGGAACATGAGAAAATTTTTTTTTTTTTTTTTTTGTTTATTTTTTATTAATTTTATTAAAATAAGGGATTAACGAATTATTATAAATTTTATAAACGATTTACAATAATTTTTCAAAGAATTTTCTACAAGGAAATATCTCAAAGATTTTGTACCAAAAAAAAAAATAAAAAAAAAAATTAATTGCACGAAGGTTATTTATTTATTTATTTGGTGAAAATATTTAAAAGGATTTCACTTGTAAAAATATCACTTAAATCTTTTTCTTTTTTTTTTTTAATTTTAATAATAGTAATGCATAAATAATTACAATTAAAAATGTGTAAGTATGGAAAGAAAAAATTTATGAAAAAAAAATTTGCATAATGTTTTATTGCCATTTCTTTCCCTCCTCCCCCTCCCCTTCGTTAAATAAAATTTTTTTTTTTATATTAAACACAATAATAGAGAATAAAAAATATTAATTTAAATGATCGTATACCTTAAGCCACGATAGCAAAATAATTTTAAAAATTTATTTTACAAAAACCATAACCTCACTTTTTTTGTTGCTAAAACATAAAACCTGATTAACACAAAGAATGAAAACACTAACACGGTAACGACAAAACTACACGTCGCAAATGTTGAATACAAACTGAGCTAGTCGAAGATTAGTCTGATCGAGGTTACCATAACTAATGGTAAATTGCTAAGTTTCAACGTTTAGGTTTTTTAATCAACAGATATATTTCGATGCTAAGCGTTGATATATTTTATTTAAAAAAAGTTTTGCGACGAAGCGTAATTCCCATTAAAAACAAAAAAAAAAAAAACTATTGTGATTATTATAGAGGTATTTAAGGCTACACTAACTATAATTCAAAATAAAATTGAAAGTTTGATTGTAAATTATAACTTACCGTAAATTCTTTTATTTTCGAATTAATAATAAATAATACACTTGAAATGAAATTTTTATGTTTTTAAACTTGGAAAAAAAACTATTTTAATATGTAAATTAATAAAAAATATTTATTAAATATGTAACATTTCATTGAACTTTTAAATAATTGTTGTATGGAACTCATGAAATCAATTACCTAGTTAAAAAATACCTTAAAAGTAAAAAACAAAAAATTCTGACACCGTTTAAGGCGCCATTTTTACAGAACTGCCAATTTAGAAAAAAAAAAAAAAAATTTTTGAAAGGCTATTTTTAATAAAAATTTAAAATTTCGGCTAGTTGTATAATTACTTTGTAACAATAAGTCTAAATTTGTTGTATTTTAGTATATATTTAAGACAAAAATAACATTTTAGACTATTTAATTTTATTGAATACTTAAAAGAGGGTCAAACTTTAAAGTAAATTTTTTGTTTTCAAAATTTTTAGTTATTTATATCTCATTGCAATAAATTAATACTTTTTATTTTCTCTTAAGAGAGCACTTAACTTGCATTCTTGCATATTTGTACTTATTAATATTATTTCTCAGTTGTTTTTGTGATAATTTAGCAATGAAATGCCTTGAAATTAGTATCTTTAAAAATTTGAGTTCCTAATCGAATGTAATAATATTTTCGAAAAGATGCTAATTATCAGGTTTTAAATGTGTTTTTATAAATTTAAGGGCAGAGTTATAATTCATAAGGATGCAAAATGTTTTTGCAAGTAATATTGAAAAAAAAGAAAAAAATTAAAAAAGTAAATATTTCAAATTATATTTATTTTTTATTAAAAAATTAAGATGCTTTCTTCGGAACTGGCCTTGGACCTTCTCTAAAGCCATTTTTAAAACGACGCCTAACAATTTTAAGGTGTCTCATTCTGCCAGTTCCAGTTGTCTTCCTTCTTTGGCCTTTTTCACTCCAATTATCTATAAAAAAAAAAAAAAATTTATTTAAATATCAATATTATTATTTAAAGAAACTTCACACAAACTTATAAAATTTGCAATTTACTTACAGTGCCTTAATTTTTTGCTAGGATACCCACATTGTGCACATTTTGATTTTTGAATGTGATATGAAGACCTACCACATCTTCTGCACAATGTATGAGTCTTATTGCGCCGTTTACCAAAACTTGATGTACCTTTTGTCTAAAATTGTAAAAAAAAAATTTTTAATTAAACATAAAAGATTATTAAGAGAAAAATATAAAACTTTTTAATCATCATTGAAAAAAAAATAATAATAATATTAAAAAATTAAATATGAGTAATTATCGGTGCTTTTATGTATTTGCTGATAACATAGAAAAACAATATTGAAAAATAATAATAATAAAATATTAAATAAGTAATTAGCTCTAATTTTATTTAAAAAAAAGTTAACATAAACCTCTACTTTTAATCGAAAAAAATTTAAACATATTTACAGTGACACATCCAATTTGAAAATAATAATGTTTTTATAAGTGCATAAACCAACAATTTGGAAATTAAAAATAATATGAAAGTAAAAAACTAAAAACTAATAAATAACAAAAAAACAAAAAATTAATAAAAAAGTAATATTTTTTGATTTTTTTTAGTATACTATTATTCAGATAAAAATTTCTAATGACAGATAGTTTAAAACAATTTACTTGATACCTGATATAAACAATTTACTTGATAAATTATATATAAAGTAAAAAATCTAAGAAACAGGGCATAAACATAAAGGAGAAAACATAAATAATATTAATTTAGTAAATGGTAAACTTTAGAACAAATAATTAACTAAATATAGATACTTATATAAAAAAGAAATAATGAACTTCTACACAAAATTCAAGACTAATATTTATTGAACAACATAAAGAGCAAAACTACACAGTAAAATAAATTTAGTAATGTAATAACTTAATTAAGTGATAATAGTATTCAACAAACATATTTGTAAAACGTAGTATAATTTTAAAAGTTAGGTTAGGAAAATATCAGTTAAATTAATTTGATTCGTACTTATGTATTGTTTTAAAATGAACAATTTTAATAAAGCATGAAAGTAAAATAAAAATAAATTTTGAATGGTGAAATTTCTAATATATATAAGTATAATAAATTTAAGATGATTTGGGATAAAATTTTATTTCTAAATACTCACCATCCTTAATTATTATACGGCAAAACACGACAAAACAATTCTTCAAGAAGTGTAGCCAACCTAATTTTGATATCCGGTGCAATTTATTTTATTATTTTACCGCAAAATTTGCGATAGCAAAAAAATTAAAAATAAAGTATTTCTAAGTAAATATTTAAATTATTAATAATTAGTATAATTTAATAAATAAAACAATAAAGATATACAAAATTATTTTTAAATAAAATAAATTTTATTTTAATAATAATTAGTGCTTAAAGCAAGCAATAAATAAAAGCAAACAAAAAATAATGCAAAGACTTTTGAGTAAATTATTTTTCAAAAATTTAAAAAAAATTTTCTAAAATAATATTAAAAATATTTTTTTTATTATAAAAATTATAACTTTTTAAAAAATATTTAAAAAATTTTACAGTTACGTAAACAAAGTACGTTAACTCGAGCAGACGACGAATGACTTGAGTAGTGACATCATCATATAAAGTTTACAAAGGATATGAGAAAGATTACAGTGCATATTTTAAATTTTGTTTAAAATTTTATTTAGAACTGGAAGTAGAGCGTTTTTTTTAGGTTAAGTAGGTTTAGTTAAAATGGATACTAAGAGTAGTAATTGTAGCGAAAAATGTGAAAATAATGATAAAGTAGGTCACCGTATGACCTCTTCAAGTACTAACAGTGAGAATTGTCCAGGGTGTGGCTTAAGCGATTTGGACAAAATTACCATAACTGTAGCCCCAACGACCGGGGGTAGATTTGACATTTCAGTTCAAAAAAATATAGCAGTTGAAAACCTTAAAAAAGTTATATCTAAAAAGCTAAAAGTACCTAAGGAACGGATACTACTGTTGCACAAAGAAAGGTAATGTTGAAACAAGTTTAGCTTTTGTTCAGATGTCTTCCTGGTTATTGTTAGATTAAAAATTTGAGTACTACTTTAATTTTATTTATTTGGCATTTATAAATTATTTAAACTTTTGTTTTTAGGACGTAATTTTAGATTATTTAAATTTTATAATTTACAAAATATTCTGATAATAGCTCAAGTTAATTTTATAAATAATTTTTTTTTTTTAAAGCCTATTCAATAAAAAATTTTTACATTTACAAATTTAATTTTTTTTTATTCAATTTTAGTGCAAAAAAAAAAACTATTCTTAATTTTTTAGGTTTAAAATTATTTTATTATTTAATTCTTTTGAAAAAATATTACTTCTTTGAAACATATTTTAAACAATTTGTACTAAAAAAAATTTACAATGGAAATTATTATTTTAAAATGGTGTAATATGTTCTTAAGTGCAAATATTTTTTTTTTTTTTTTTTAGCTATTAAGTGGAATGATTTTTCAAAATGAATAAAAATCAAATCAAATGTTGTAATTAATATAAAAATATATATTTATTATTATATAATTGTAATTTTATAAAATTATTTTTAGGCAATTAAGAGATGGTAGTCTTCAACAAAATAGTATATACCATGGCAGCACTTTAACATTACTACCCTCAGTAGAAACAGGATTACTCTCACAGAGACCTGAACAGGGTGTTATGCAAGCTTTGGAAAGTTTAAATGATTCTCAGGTATGTATTTTTTTTTAGTAATTTATTAAATATTTAATGTTTTCAAAAGTAAAAGTTAAGGGTTTTAGTAGAAAAACAGTCATTATGGTATATTATAAAATGAAAATTGTAAGTAATTGATTTATTGACAATTTTAGTTCAAATATAGTACAAATTTGAAATTTTTTCGAACAGAAAGAATAATAGATTGGATATTTTGCCATTAAAATAAGTTTTTCACCCATATTAATTTTTAATTGCTGTTTCATTTGCACATTTTGTACATTATAATTAAATTAAGATTGACTTAATCGATAGATAAATAAATAATTATACTTTTTCATTTTAATGGTATTGATACTGATTGATGACTTTCGAACAAAGAATGTATTGTTTTAAGTGATTTTTCCTAGGAATTCTTTACTTATTCTTAATGGAACAAAAGATCTTTTTATAATTATTAATAAGCCATAATATAATTTTTTGCATTTAAAATTATTTTAAATGAAAAAAATGACAATTTTTTTAAAATTTGTCTTACTTTAAATTTTTTGTTGTAGGTTAATGATTTTTTGTCTGGTAAAGCACCCTTGAATCTCACAATGAGATTAGGTGATCATATGATGTTAATTCAACTTCAGCTTTCTTCTGTAACTCCAAGTATGACTCGTAAATCCAGTTCAAATATTTCTGTTCAGCAAAGCGGCAAATCAAACGAGTCTTACAATACGAAACCAAATGTTCCTAGCACTTCTGATGAATCCTTGCCATGCAGTAGTAATAGCAGCAGCAGCAGCAGCAGCAGTAGTAGTAGTAGTGGTAGTAGCAGCAGCAGCAGCAGCAGTAATAATTCCTCCGATCCCGATTTATCATTGCCTAATTTAAATTTACTTAAATCTAAATTAAATTCATTATTGCATAAAAATAACGAAAATTTACATTCACTAAAAAGAAAATTAAATCCGGGAGAAGATGAGACCTCGGTTAAAAAGATTAAATCGGATGACGAAGGAAAAACTAGATACTTTAAAGATTTAAATTTAAAAAACGTTTTATTAAATGTATCAGAACCCACTAGACCCGAATCGAAAAGTTCAAAGTGCAGCAGCGAAATCGTAAAAGATGAGCCTAAAGAAGACTCCTCCTCGTCTAAAAGTCAACAAATTAATCAAGAATTGCAAGTTAAAAAATCTGACGTATTGTCTCAAATAATGGAAAGCGTTAGAAAAATTAGCGAAAATACGACGGAAATTAGTCAGGCTATTGAAGGAAAGGTTTGTGATAAAGATGTTAGTATTTACGGGTCCAAGTGCAATGTGAATTGTACGTGCTCGAATAAAACCGGATATAATTTGGATAATAGTGTCAAAAATAGTGATTCAACAGCTTTGGATACGAAAGCCTTGGCCGAAGCTTCTAGAAACCTTACCCAAACATTAAAACAATTATCTTCTGAAGTATTTACATGCCGTTCGGAAAATTCAGATGTAAGTTTGATTTTTTTTTTCCTATGGAATAATTATTGTATATTTTTTAATATTTAAAAGTGTACTGTCTACTTTTCTTATGAAAAACCTTAATTAAAAGAAAATATTTAGTTTTATTCCGAGTTTTTAAGAATTAAAATGAATTATTTTTTCACTATTAGACTAATGTTTTAAGTAAATTATAATTATATCTTGTCATATTTCATTTTTTTTAAAAAAGTTATTATATATATATATTTGAAATATTAAAATTTTGTTAAAAATAAAAATAATTATTTTTATTTTTAGATTTTAGGCATTGCCCAGTTATTAAAGTTGAAAGGTTTAATAATAGAATTTTGAATTCAAAATATGATGTGGTTTCTATATATATTATTAAATGGTTATTTGATTTTATTAATTACAAAATCAATTGAATTCTATTAAAAGTTTTACGTATAACCTTTCATTAAATATGCATAATTTATGTTTTAATTTCTTATCATGACATATTTATTTTTAAATTCATTTTTTAATACAAATGCTTGAAACTGTGAGATTTATCAATAGGATACAAAAAATTAAAGCCGCTCACATAGATGTACTTTTTTAACGGTTTTTTAAAAATTTTTTATGTAATTATTTTTCCAGGATTGCTCTTCGTCTTCTTCGTCATCTCGTAGACGTCCAGGAACTCAGGGAGCTATTATAGAATCAATGCAACACCACGGAAAAGGTTAATTTTATTTAATAAAAAATAAATAATAAATTTTTTGTAAATTATTGGTGTTTTTCATGTTGTATCATAGTTATTAATAATATTTTTCTAACTGTTAAAAAAAAAATAATTTTTTCAGGTGTTTTCAGTGGTACATTCTCTGGTACGTTAAATCCAGCTCTTCAAGATAGATTCGGTCGTCCCAAACGTGATATTTCTACAATTATACACATATTAAATGATTTACTTTGTGCTACTCCTCAATATCGCAGACAAAGGCAGCAACCCCAGCCACAAATAAAAGTTCAAACGCATGAAAGCTCATGTAAGAAGTGTTTAAACTTTAAGAGATGAAAATTTTTAAATTTTTGGTTTTAATTTTTAATTTTTAATTTTTCTCGGTATTTTTTTGTTTAGCAATCGAAGATAGTAACACCTCCGCCACAGAGTTAGTTTCGGTAGAAAATGAAGCAACTCGTGGAAAATTAGAAAGACTTCGAATGGTTATGGAACAAAATAGAGCTCGTCGTCGTGCCAGACGAGAAGCCAAGACATCAGATAGCGCAAATACAGTAATTATTTCTTATAATTATAACAATCGATTAAATTTTTAACCGGAAATTGAAAAAAAATTATTCAAACAAAAATTTTATACAAAAAGAATTACTATTCAGTCAGTCAGCTTTCTTTGGGATTTAATTTTGTATTTTTTTTTTTTTTTTTTACAGGATATAAATAATGAAGACGAATTGGAAACTAATAATCAAGATAGTCCTGAATTAATGGAAATTAGCCCGCCAGAGCCTGTAATGGCCTAAAACTAAATTTTTAAATTTTGGCCTTCTTTTTTTATAGTTCATTATGAAATGTAGCCTCAAAAATTATGTTCGAAATAAAAACCAATGTTAGCGTTTTCAAAATTAAATAATTTTGTCTTTTTGTTTAAATTCCTACTTTTTTTCATCGTGAATTATAACCTTTTTCCATTATTCTAATTAAAGAAACATTTACCAAAAAAAAAAAAAAAGAATTGTAATTTGTTTTTATTATTTAAATAAATTTCTTATTATTGCAAAATGTAGGGCTTTTTTAAAAATATTATATTTAGTATAATATAATTTTTCAAAACAATTTAAACGTTTTGAATTATATTAAAGTGGATTAAATTAAATAAGAACCGTTAAGTAAGTTAATTGCTTAAATTTCTTTAAGCATACAAATAGAATAAAAATAAATTGATATTAAACTAAATAACATTTTTTAAAGTTTTTTTTTTTTGCGAGTATTTTCCCGAAAATAGGACGTTACATAAATGTAAATTTAAATTTATTGAACTGATAGCCATTATTTCCGGTTAGTTATTTTTAAAATCGTTCAAGCGCTGACATCGTTTCTAGGCAACCATTTTGTTTGGATATTTGGAAAGTGTAGATGGTCTTAGGGCCATGTTATTTACAATTTTTTTTTAAAGTTTTGTCAACAGAAAGAATACTTGATTATATTCAAATAGAATCTTACTGTTTGGTAAGCTTCTTAGTTACCGTTTTATCAATTGGTAATAAATTAAAACAATGTAGTGTTTTGACGTTGCCTTGGGATCAAAAGGCGTATCTAGGTAACATAAAATGGCGACTAAACACTGCAAGGTGGTGATAAGATAATGGTAATTTTAAAGCTTTATTTTCTGAAGTTCCATTTTAAAATCATTTTTATTTTTTTATTTTTTTTGTTTTTTTTTTCTTTCTTTCTTTTATTAAGAAATGATTGATATTAAAATATTACCAATGAGTTTCTATTCCAATGATATTTTATTACTGTGTCTATTTTATAATAGTATTCTTTAATTATTTTAGTGATAAGATTTGGCATGATTAATAATCTGATCAAAAATCCATTATTGATTCTTTATTATTAATGTACTTCTTTTAAACTAATTAACCTGCCATTTTTTATTATGTTAGAAGTTGTCATTGAAATACTCCAAGAGAAAAACATATGTATATGACTTGGATTAAATTGGCTTTTTTTTGTTAATTAAAGTTAAAATTTTTACTATATTGTCTGGCCATTCTTTTAGTTAAGTACTTATTTTTGTAGGTAATAGAAATAAGAATACATAAATGAAATTTTATTCGGGGGAAAAACCCCGACTTAAAATAAATAAATAAAAAAATTACAAGATACATAAAACTAATTTTTTTATTAAAATTATTTTGCTAAATTTTATATAAGTTTTAGTTCGATGTTTTTTTTTTTTTTGATATTAAACAATTATTAAATGAAATTTATTTTGTACTCTATGTCATTTTACTGTTATTTGAACTTACTTACTTACTTTTAAAGTATTACTGTTATTTATCAATTACTTTTAAATGAAAAAGAATTTAAACTTTTTTTAAGTTTTCCTATTATTATTACAAATATATTATATTAAAAAAAATATAAGCTTTTATAAAATTAAGTATTTATATATATTTAAACTTACAATAGGTAAGTATAAATTAATTATAAGAGTTAAAAAGAAAAACTTAACTTTCAAATGCAGCAATTTGTATTTAAAATAA